ACCCTCTTCTGCACCCTGTGCAGAGGGGTTGAGTAGACAGCTCCAGAGCTGTCGTGGTAGCCAAAATCAAGGGGTTTGACTTTGACGGCTACCACTGACTACAACGTCTAACCAAGAAAACTTAAAAGAGGAAACAACTACAGATAGAAAAAAGGGGGGATCACCCTATTTCATCTCTCTGTCTAGCTCATAGTCTGATAACAGTCTCCAGCGGAAGGTGTAGGCCAACCCGTGAGATGCGTGCGGATGGTGCCCAAAGCTGGACCCATAGGCAACCCGTTGTTCGAGGCGTTGGAAGCTCGTACGTGAGCCCCCATACGTCGACTGGGATTGATATCTCGCCCACGCGCCGTTTCGCGCTATTAAAACTCAGGTCTACTAGCCATAACGCGCCTTTGCCTTTTTCGCTTGACCCACAACTTTCAGGTGTGGAAATCGGTAAGTGTCACGCGCGCGGGTTAACATAAGGCCGCGCGACTATAGGACTTACGCATATCGACCAACAATGCGGATTTGCGTAAGCGATCGTGATATCGGCGCACCATGTAGTGCCCATACCCGAGTGGCCTCGTTTAAGCCATGGGGTCGCTTTCGATGCTCAGGCGTCGACTGAAGCGCACACTAAAGGGAGTAAACCTTTAGGGAGCGTAAAAACCGGCCTGGGGGCCTTACCGTCTTCAACACCCTGAGGTGTCCCAAGGGGTGCGAGGTAAGATGGTCCCTAGGGCAGGAAGGGATTCGGAGCGGTGGTGAGTTGTCTGGCGCATCACCAGCGACACGCTAATCCTTCCGCCCGGAACTTTATCGTTCCACCAAAAGCAAACTAAACAAGGAAAGAGAATAGGGGCGTTTGTCGCTGGCCGAAGAAGACATGAATGTCCTACTGGACCGAGTTGCTGGGGGTCAGTCCCTCCTTCTCGCGCCGCTTTTGTTTCCCTAAGGATGTAAGTAGGTCAGAACTGTGTGAAGGGTAATCCCTTCAGCCCCGGACCTAGGACTTGGGACTTACGTTCGACCATATAAAATCAGTGAGTAAAAGAGAGCCATAAACGTGCAGTCGCATATCCTTGTGAGGGTTATCCGAGCGTACGCCTACTTTGACTATTAAAGAATCAGGATAGGAAAAGACCAATCGCAATCAAACAAAGAGTTTGTGTGGTAGTTCCCTCTCACGACAGTTGTGTGATTTGCCCATCTCAATCCAATTCACAACCAATCACCAAACTTTTATCGAGGTTTCTCCACACATACCTGCGATCACATACARAAATCAAACGACATCACACACACTAAAGGGGTCAACTTTTCAGCCTTCTGCAGCTCACACCCTACCTTACGCGCACAAGCCCAACCTATTCCCCACCTTTCCATAACAAAGATACTCAGTCTTTAAAGAAATGACCATTTATAAAGAATCTGGGTGAAAACCCAAGAAAACAATAAACCAACAAGGGCCAAAGAAAACAATAAACCAACAAGGGCCAAGGCTTTTAGGTTGAGAAGCAGAAGTAGTAGGAAAGTTGAGTCGTAAGCCGACGAATCGGCAACCGACCTGTTATCAATGATAACAGAAGAATAATCCTTAACAGGATTATGCTGGCCRGATCAATCCTTCAACCAAGTCACAAAGACCTGCATCACAGTACAGGCCAAAGAGAACCACTACGACGTTTACCTCACATGGAGAATACTTTCTATCTCGTATCCTAGCTCCTCTACTAGTCTTAAACTCAGCTTCCSTTTTYTAATCTGGGTCCTGAGAAATTTGGCAGCATCTCCTCTATTCAGGGTGRACTTGCCAAGTTTCTCCTAGCATAAATTATTSTAACTCCTCGATTTCTATGAAATTTCGGCAGCGCTTCCCGTAGGAAAAGTGTCTTTTCAGAATTTCTGAAAGCCCAAAAATGACTAACTCTTTMTGATTTGTAGAAATTTCRGCAGCGCTTCCMGTAGGAAAAGGAGGCTGCCAAGATTTATACAAAGCTAAAAATAGGAAGACAAAGCAAAACTRTACTTRGGACTAACTTCTGACGCTTACTTTGAAAGGTAGAATCAGTGATAGTCTGCACGACCTCTAGATGAGAGCGTGAGCTAGCACTGATCCTAAGTCCTAGCAGAGCCAAGTTCTATCTTATCCGAAGTTTTTCTCCCATCATCCATCTTATCTGCCTATGGCTCCAGCACTCAGCGAGCATCTAAAGCAACTAATCCTATCAGAAGATGTCCCAGAGTGAGAGTCCGCAAACACACACACAAACAATCACAACGAACATCTCTCACCAACCCTCAGGTTTCTTTCAACCTCATAGTTCGTTCAAAAAATCTCGTTATTCCCTTTTACATCCCCCTTTCCTATGGCATACGGTG